CCTAAGCCTCTAAACCCCTAAACCTCTAAACTCTAAAACCTAAACCCTGCCCCACCTGCATCAGGGAAGACTTGGCCCAGTGGAGATCGTTGGCCACGAGACAGGTCGTCAGCCCCATCATCAACAGCGCAAGGAGCAGCAGGGCGGTTTCGGAGTGGTTGAAGAACTCCACCTGTGGTTTGGGGTTCCGAGTTAGGGTCCCAATCCATGGCCGTGGTACGATGTAGGAACCCCATTCAAGCTAGCTCTCAACCCTCTTTCAACCCTGAAACCCAAAGCCTTAAACCCTAAAACCCTAATCCTAAACCCCAGCCGCCCCAGTCAAAGAGCGACTTAGAACAGTTGTGTGTGTGTGTGTATGTATATGTGTGTATATATATATATGAAAATATACATACAATACTAGGGTAGTAACCCACCAGAACCTACTTTTTGGTAGGGTCCCTGTAAATCCCATATTAGGGTTTATAATAAGAACCTACAACAAAGGTGGGTTTTTGTGGGTTAAGGTATCGTATAGGTAGTTAGCCTCTTCCCCGCAATCTCCTCCCCAGAAGGCGCCTTGTACGGGTGGTACCGGAGGATGAGCACCAAGGAAGCAGTGAGGATAATGCTCACGGACTCCATCTGCAGAGCCTTAGGGATGAATCGTTCCGGGGCTTCGGGTTTAGGGTCTATAAGGGTCTATCGTGTTCGGGGCCTCGGGTTGAGGGCTTAGGGTTTAGGGTTCAGGGTCTCAGAGTGGATCGATCCTTTTCGGGGCTTAGGGTTGAGTGTTGGGGTGGCAGTGAAAGTTTATGGTCGGGGATACTGCTCACTGAATATATCTGGAGAGACTTACTTGGAGGGTCCGGTGGACTGAGTCAGTAGGCATTAAGTAAGTAGAGTTATAAGTACCCCAAAAAGGGACCCGAAATGGAGTTATGATACTTTTTTAAGTCTACAAAACTCCATCTGCAGAGCCTTAGAGTAAACTCCAGAAGGTTGGAGACGGGATTTCGGACAACTAGTGATGGGACTCCTTTAAATTGCTCTTAAGGATTGAAGCTATTGGGTTTAGGGTTTAGGGATTGCAGCTGTTGGGTTTGTAACTTTTGAGGTTCTATTGTCTGAAAGGAAACTACAGGTGGGGAGTTTAGAGTACTAGGGCTTCCATAAGGCTTCTATAAGGTATATCGACCTTCTATAAGGGTCCTATAACGGTAACTACCCACCTGAAAATGTCCTAGATTTCTGGGCCAAAGGTTTAGGGGCTCAGGGATTGAGCGTTGAGGGCAGTGAAAGTTTAGGCTTCAGGGTTTGGAGGTTCAGGGTTTACGGTTTTGGGTTTAGGGTTTGGGGTCAAGCGTTTAGGGTTTTGGGTAGCCAAGAGATGGGATGGCTTGCTCAAAGACTCGAACTCTTAAAAATGCAAAACACGAACCCTACACTCTAAATGTTGGGGTCCCTTTTGGGGCCCTTTTTTATAAGGGCGCCGTACCATATGCGCGACCTGCATGAACAACCTTCGCCTCCAAGACCGCAGCTCTCAACCTTGCATATGCCACCCTCCCCCCCAGGCTCCAAACTTCAATACTACAAGGGGCCTCAATAATTCGAACAGGGCTTTGGGGGTAATTTTATGCTATAACTATACTAAGGGACCCCCCCCAAAAAAATAGCACCCCCAAAAAAAATAGTATAGGTAATGATTAAAGCCCCCCATTTAATTCAACCCCGTGTGTCCCAAGGCTTGAACCCTTGCAATTTACATCCCGAGCCCTGTGCCGAAGCCTGACGCCCCTCCCCTGAACCTTGGGACGTAAGGCTTGGGGTTTGGGGTTTGGGGGTTTAGGGTTCAAGATTTAGGGTTTAGGATTTGGGGTTTAGGATTTGGGGTTTAGGGTTTAGGGTTTAGGATTTGGGGTTTCGGGAGCTGGTCCACACACAAAGCTCGGGGGCTTGGCCGGGTGATTGGCAAATTCCCTAGACCGGTTTAGGGTTTAGGGTTTAGGGCTTTAGGGTTTTAGGGTTTAGGGTTTAGGGTTTACGGCTCTGGTTTTGTTTGGGGGTTTTGGCAAGTTAAGGACGGAATAGACCCCTACCTGTCCAGTGTCATGGGAGAACTACAGGTAGACCTTTGGAATTGCTGGGGGTTATGGTACCCCAAAAGCTTAAAGGTTATCTACTGCACTACTAGGGACCTTAAACTACGTCATGCTCTATAGTTGAAGGTATGTTGAATTAGGGTTTAGGCCTGAGGGTTTAGGCTTTCTGGGCGTTGAGGGCTTCGCCCTGCCCCAAGCAACCCTAAACGCTAAACCCTGCACCTTAAACCCCACCCAAAGACATCGTGAAGCACCCAAGTGGCCGGTGAGAGCGACACCTCGGTAAACGCGCAGGCTTCGTGGTTCTGAGGTTTAGAGCTTGGGCTTCAGGGTTTCGAGTTTACTTGGAGGGCCGGGGGGACTTCGTAAGGGGGTGATAAGTAGAGGTACATATACCCCGAAAGAGATCCGAATTGAGGTTGTGATACTTATAAGTCTATATAATGAACTACTTACTAAGTCCCCCGACCCTCCAAGTATACTATGACCCTAACCCCTGACCCCTAAACCCTAAACCCCAACCCCTAAACGTCAAAACCCTGAACCCTAAACCCTAAACCCTAAACCCTAACCCCTAAACCGGCCCTAAACCCTAAACCCTAAACGCTAACCTAGGCTTCCGGGGTTGAGGGCATAGGGGTTTAGGTGTAGGGGTTTCGGGATGCTACTTCTGGTGCTGATGCTGTTGGTGCTGGTGAGGATTCGGACGGAGACGGTTTAGGGTATAGGGTTTAGGGTTTAGGGACACCCCGTAGGACCCTGTTTGAAAAAAAGCTCTTCCAAAACCCAAGAGCCACCTAGTCTCGCAATTCAGAAGCATGCGTTCAAACATAAAATGATCCCCTTCCAGTCCAAAAGCCTAGTCCGGAACGAAGGAATCTTCGGGCACTAAACCTGAAACTGAAACCTAAACCCTAAACCTTAAGCCTAGACCTTCACCCCTGCCCCTATACGGTTGATGATGTAAATCCTGCAGTACCCCACAAGAAGGAATATACCATCATTCCCGTAGTTTAGGGTCCTTAAGGCAATGCAGGATTTATATCATCAACAGTATGAAAAGTTATACAGGTTCAGGGTGTGGGGCTTAGGGTCTACACTCCCCATGAAAGCCTTCTAACAGCGAGGCGCTGGAAGGACGGCCACCACGAGAGTCAGAAGCATCTTTCGCACCAGGCGCTCCACCTGGTCGAAGGCCACTTATAGCATCATAACCATACCTTCCCTAGCCCCTAAACCCACTTTCTCGGGGGTGAGTTTGGGGTTTCGGAGCTTCGCGGTTGGAGTGAGTCATGCTTTGAGGCAAAGGCTCCCTCATATGCTTCATAGTTTATGAACCCTACACCTTTCGAGTTTTAGGGCTTAGGGCTTCGGGTTTTAGGGTTTACGGCTTAGGGTTCGGTTTATAGGAACTCTTTTGCATAGTTTCATAGTCAGGGTTCAGGGTTTAGGTTTTAGGGCTTGGGATTTC